CCGATGGTGCAAGTTAGGTTTCAATGAACTCAATGTGGTTATATTGATTTTCTCCACCTGACACTCTTGCTTACAACAAAATCAGCACCTTCCTCATATAGCTATTCATGCTCACTTCATCTGGAAGACAGACACTGTGTGCTAAAATAAACGAATACTTACTCCACCACATAAAGTTAGAAAAACAACATGTTTAAAAACACTAGGGGAAAAAAAAAAAAAAAAGAGAGAACATATTGGTCAAGATTACTCGGCCAGCACCTGTCTCTCTAGTTACCAGAAACGATGAGATTTGATAAATCTCTACATTACCAAGGTTACCCAGGTCTCATATTTGTACCACAAGTCTTTTCAATTTGGCGCCCTAACAAAGCCACTAAATACTGAGTACCAACACTGCACCCATTGCCTCGTTAGCATTTTGAATGATTGTGACAGCTTCTTCTCCTCCCTAGTCAAGAGAAAAGAATAAGGATCAGTTTCATCTGTGTGACTGCTCTAGGGAAGAGCACCAGTGAGTGTAAAACCATAAGGAGCAACTGCATTAGCTCATCTTTTCTCCTTAATAAAGCAGCAAACAATTAGTGTTAAAGTAAAATGGGTCAATCAAGACCTCAAATCTTCTTAACAGCTAGCACGGTCAACCCATGTGGCCACAGCAATCCAAATTAACCCCACGGATGCATCAGTCCCTTCTTCCAATACCTAGAAAGCAATTACAAATGTCACATTTAATGTCCTTCTAAAACATCCTTCTGCAGCTTAGTAGCATAACCTGTGATTTACCCTACCCTTGAAAGAAAAGCTTTTTCCTTTGCTGAAGCAGATGGCTTAGGAAACCACCCATTTCCATCAGTGTCTCTCTAAATCAGCTCCACCCTGTGGAAATCAGTCTCTTGCTGGTTTTTCCTTATTAGCTCAAATGCACTACAGAATCACTGCTAACAAGCACACCTGTATGTGAAGGAAAAGAACAGAGGGAAAAGGCACCAGCACACCTAAACGTGGCACTGCCTATGCTCTCCCTCGGCGTGTATATCTGTTTCCTCTGTAATCCAGTGACTTCAAGGAACACTGTTCACTCCCATGCCTCCTCTGGAAGTCCTCAGCACCACCAACCATCATCAAGGGTTTTCCACAGCTAAACCCGTGGACACTGAATTTAAACTATTTTCCATTCCAAGCAAAACAGTTTAAAACAATCTTAACTTTAAAGCACGCTTAACATTCATTTTCAAGAACAATTAAGCGTGTATTTAAACAACTGAATAAATCCAGACAGCCAAAACCAAGCATCTCTGAGTCTTCAGGAACAATTGCACATACAATCATAGAATGGTTTGAGTCGGAAGGGACCCTAAAGGCCACCGAGTCCAACTCCCCCGCAATGAACTGGGACATCTGCAGCTAGATGAGGTGCTCAGAGCCCCGTCCAGCCTTGATCTTGAATGTCTCCAGGGATGGGGCAGGCATCCGCAGCACCTCTGGGCAACATGTTCCAGTTCTTTACCACACATATTGTAAAATAGAAACACATTTCAAGTACACACATGGACTTCAAAGTAGCACACAAACAAAATGCCCAGATCATCAGATAATTCAGTCTAGAAGGTACCTTGGGAAGCCAGCTAGCCCTAGGGCTCAAGAACATTGCAGTTTTCCAAATTTCTGGCTGTTACCCACTCGTGCATGCTAACTGCAACACTCCCTAATCCATTTCGGGATAAAGCTTCAATTTATCACAACAAAAATGCTAAAGGCATAAAATTTCTCTTAGGAGAACCCCAATAAAGCCACAGGGTAAAAGGGTGCTTTTTATCTTTTGCTGAGCCAGAAGTTATACCAGATGAGCTCTCAGCATCCTCACTGCCAGTGCCCGGTACTATGGAAAAGAGGTCTCAGCTTTGGACAGACCCACAACTTATAGAGAAGTGCTACCAGAGCTTGCTTTTATTTTTTCCCTCTTTAAGCTGGTTGTCATTTGTCTTACTGTGGCATATCAGATTTCAGACCTGGCAGATGCTTCATCTCCTTTACAAGTTCTGTCAGTGCCTTCTGACTTTATAGAGCTTATAGTAATAAAGAGGCAATTTTTTGAAATCCATTATCATCAAGTCCTCACAAGCTAAATTCTTTTTGAATTCTCCCTCTTCTCACTCCTTTAAGAAAACAAACCTGTCTCCAACACATGTATATGAAATGCCACATTTGGAGGTGACTGCTGAAATAGTCCAGCAGAGTCTGAAATGGGCCTCGCCCACCCGTTTCTGTGTTTAAATATTTCCAGCAATTTCCACAGCTCAGACAACTGTTCAACAAGAACAGGGCCATACCTAGAGGGGCCAGAAACGGCTCTGGTGTCAGAACAAAAAGCAAGTGTTTCCTCTTATGAATCCAGGTACACAGCTTTGCAAACAGTACCTCCTACAGAAAGCAGCATGGTGCAGGCTGAAAGGAAGGATATGCTTCTGAAAAACGTCTAGTAACAAGGGAATTCTTATCCCAGAGACTGCAGCAATTCATGTAGGGACTACTGTGATCACTCACATTCCAGCGCAGAACCTCAGGGGTCATTAAATGATGACGATTTTTTTATTGTCAGAATATATTTAAAGAGCACAGCTAAGTGGGTACTGACATAACATACCATAACAATTACATCAGATCTCTAAATCAAGGGTTCAAACGCTCCTTTATGTAACAAACTGCATTATAGGCGCAATGAACTGCATTCAAAGTGTGCTAAAATCCTCCACAGAAGAACAGCGACTTTTTATTCTCAGGATGACAGCTCTTTGGCTTCTCTCACACACCCGCAGGCAAACCACAACATGGGTGCAACAAATTATAAAGTTCCATTAACCGAATCCTTTACATAAAGGGATGGAGGGAGAAGTAGCACTTCTCCTCCTCTCCTCGCCACACAAGGACTCAATTGCTTCCTTCATTTTTGCTCTGCGAATGGCCTCACTAAACCCAAGGGATGCATTGTGTTGGTTCAGCTCACCTGTAAGGCTCTCCAGTGCTGCTGCCTGAGTACCAAGACTTGGTACCACATCAAGTTTGGGGTCCTGCCTGCTGCCAAGTGCATTGTGTAAGCAGGTGAAATCAAATGCACAGCATTGAACTCAGTGGTTCCTAAACTGAGGTGCTACTGAGTTGAGTTTGGGGCTCGCCCACCATTTCACGTAACACATTTTGAAAATATTAACAGCAGAAACACACACCCATCCACAAACTGACCCGGACTGTCTCTGTGCTAACTGAGTTTCTATAGATAGAGCTTCTGTCACAAGTAGGGAAGGTGCCCGTTCTCTCAATGTGAATCACTTCTTAGTGATCTATCAAGTAACGGCAGGGGGATTTTCATCAGGTAAAGCTTTCTCTGCACATTCTCTTCCTCTCCTCAGCAAGGGCTGAGATGCTGTAATCACGTCATCCAGTAGGGAGGGAAGCGAGAGAAGCTATTGGAAACAAACACATCCCGCAGCTGAGCTCTTTTTGGGTGCATCAGAGCTGCTATCCGTAGTCAAGACATCCACCAGCACAGGTGGAAAGAAAAAGACTCCTTTACAAGGGGAAAGCAAATGTCTGGGCATGAAGGGGGAGATGCGGAACAGAGAGGGGACACACTTGAAAGGAGAACATGTCTGAAAACAAAAGGGATGGGTTTGCTGGATGGGGAGCAGCAAAAGTGCTGGACAGCAAACGGTGCTTGGAGAGATCCGCTGCCACAAAGATGGGTCACGAGAAGGGAGGGCAGGGACTTTGAATATTTGGTAGGAGTTACAATATGTACGTATACGATTCGTGGTTTTACGTGAACAACCCCTTCATGCGAAAGCCTGCTCTTTTATATCGGGAAGAAGCCCGCGCAGAACGCCACCACCAAGTCACAGAATATCTTTATTCAGAGGAAACCTGAAAGTCCCATCGGAAAACGAATTCGGTTGGCATCCTGAAGGCAGAAAGCAGCCCCTTCCTCCCGAAGGTCTTGCACACAGCACGCCTTATCCGAGCATCACACACACACACACTCACACACACTCACACACACACACACTCACACACCAACCTGAGGCGAGCGGCGTTCATTCGGCGCAGCGCGGAGCTGCGCGCCCGCGGCTCCCACCTGCAGCAGCAGAACGGTCTCTTCCATTCCACAGCGAGGCTTTGTTCGCCGCCGCCCCGCTGCGGTTACAGCAGCCACGCGCGTTTCCTCCCCCCCCCCCTCACCAACCCCCCCTCAAGAGCAAATTAGAAGCGCTTACACCCGCGGCACCCCCGCGTCTCTTTGTTCAGCCTCGCAGATCCCTTTAGAGGAGCTTAGGAGAAGGGGAGGGAGGGCGGGGAGGGTAGGAGAGGACAGAAGGTGACATCCTTCGCAGGGTTTTAATAAGCGCTACGGATGCTCGGACCCCTAAGGGGAGCCGACGGCTGGCAGGAGGACAAAACCAGCGCGCTCCGGGGGCGCGGCCCCGCCGCTTAACCTGCGGGAGGTGAGCGGAGCGGGAGGCAGCGCCCGCGCGCGGGGGGCGGCACGAGCCCTCCTCGCGCCTAACGGCTCCCGGCCGTCGCGAGGCGGTGGGGCGGCGCGAAACCCTCCCGCGCGCTGGTCTGTGAGGGACGCCCCACCCGCGCACCCGCGGCGCGCCCGCACCGCCGAACCCCAGCCCGCCGACGGCGGCCGCTCGCTCCTTTCTCCCCTCTCTCCCCTTCCTCCGACGCCCGGCGGACCCCCGCTGCACGCTCCCTTACCTGAGCGCCGCGGACAGCTACCGGCACCGGAGCGCCGAGGGGCAAAGACGCAGCCGCTCCGCTCGTCCGCCCACCCGCCCCGCCGCTCTCGGGGCTGTCGCCGGGACGCGGCCGCCTGCGCGCCGCGAGCCCCCGGGACCCGCCCCGCTCGTCCGGCCCCGCCCCGGCCCCGGCGCCGCTCCCGCAGGGCCCCCGCGGCGCTGACGGAGGGCCCGGCCCCTCGCCGCCGCCCCGCCCCGCGCCCGGCCCGCCGCCCGCAGCGGCCCCTGCATTGCGGAGCGCTACCTGAGCGGGGCGGCTCCCGCGGCCCGGCACGGCGGTGCCGCCAGGTGCGTGCTGACCGCCGGCCCCGCCGCGTCCCCTCGCCTCGGGGCTTTCAGTCAGGCCGGCCGAAGCACCTTGCGTTTTGTTTTTCCCTTTCTTCTAGGAGGCGGAGTGCTGAGGTAGTTGGAAAAGCGCACCTCGGGATCTGCGCCGCTGCCGCCTTCCAGCTGTGCTGGCGCGGCGCTGAGCTCTCCGGCCCCTTCCTGGGCTTCGCTGATGAAAGGTATTCTGTTTGCCACTTAGCGGCTTCCCAGTCCCAACTCTCTTCTCTGCCCCTCGGGACGGCAGCTCACGTTCCCCTGTTCCTCGGGTGAGATAAGAAACACGAGGGCAAAGGCAGCCGTCGTGCGATGGCAGCGGTGTGGCAGTGCTGCTGCAGCTGGCCGCACCCACTCCATGTCACTTGGTTGCCGTTCTGCTGCAGATAATGAGTAGAATAGGCTCGAGTGGCTTTTCCTTCCCCCGAACAAATGAATCTAGTGGTTTTCCTTGAAAACATTTGTGCAAAGGCCGGGCTATAAGAATCTCAACCAGGAGTTCTCACTGCATCACTCACATGACACTGTCAAACCTTTCAGTTTGTCTCGTTGTGCTGCACCATACACCATGTACTCTGTCCCTGCTTTTCCAAAGCTTTGCTAATTCGAGGTGCCTCACTTGATTTCAAATGTGGTTTTCACAAGTACTTTTTCTTCATGGGCATTTACACTCTGTAATTTCGACCTCAGTGCCTTAGACTGGGTGATCAAAACAGGTAAAGGAAGGCATAGGCCTCGCTGCTGCATCTGTTTCTTCAGCTGCCATAGGGAGATGGAAATCCCTCAGCATGGAGTATATTCCAGTCTCACATCAATGTCAATAAAGGCATTCAAGGATGCCAAATTATTCTGTTATATATATATATATATATTTGTATATCAGGCTTTTTTCCCATTGAATGTCTGAGTTTGTGGATTAAGTTTACAGACATCTTTCCTCAAGTTACCTGGGAGAGCTTCCCACCACTACCATTTCCTTGTTGTAGCATTTCATCTACAGATCATGGACATTGTCTGCAAATCAGTAGCAGTTAGAGAGAGTGGGACAGTGCCAAGAGGACAAAGCCATTGTGATCTCCTCTGATAGCTCTCCATCAGTGATGCATGCGAAACTGGAGGAGATGCTTCCAGAGGAAACATTTGCTGCAGGCCATCTTTCTTGCAGCCTTCTGGGAAGACACCTGCTCAGTGCACAACACCCATGAACCAGCACACCCAGCACCTACTGTTGTACTAAGGGACATGGTTTCAGGGGGAAACATTGGTGGTAGGTGCACAATCAGACTAGATGACCTTGGAGGTTTTTTCCAACCTCAATGATTTTACAATTCTATGATTCTGTTGGTGCAACAGTGCCTTTCCCTGCCACCTTTTTCAGTGCTCCCACACAGCCATGCAGAGACACAGAGCTCTCCCCACAAGCACAAGGGCTTTGCTATATCTTTCACCACCTAGGTAACAGGAATGCAGGCTTCAAATAAAGCCTAATTAGACTGAGAGGAAATGAGCAGTTGACTTGATACTTCACGCAAGTAGAATTAGATTTATTTTTAACTTATAATATACAAAAAAGAAAAAGACAGCTTATACTTCTGTGGGAAAAAAGCAGTGCAAGAGTATCATGGAAGAGAAATCTCAGTGATAAGACATCATGCCAATAGGCTGCGTGCTATCCATAAATGTCCCTAGAGATCAGGGTGATATATTGACCATAGAAAGGCCCAGAGTATTCCATGTGCCGTGAAGAAATCGATGCCTCTCACTCAGATGCAGTATTATGGCCGTATCTTTTCAGCAGCAGGCTGCAGTGAGAGAAGGTGAATCTTAGACTGTTAGTCATTCAGCTGCAGCTCTCCTTTAAACAGTCACCAAAGATGAAAAACAAACACAGAAAAAACAACACAGCATTCGCCATTTTCCCCCAGATAATTATGTAGTCAAATTACATTATACTTTACATTAAGTATTCAGCAACAGTGTTGACACTAGACGTTTTAAGAGAGAAAAAAAATCTTATAATTTATGTCAGAGATGTTAAGATACACGCAAGTATTTTTATTAGAAATATTCATGCAGAGATCAAAAAGCATCTTCCTCCTCCCTAAGAGATAGTGGGGAAAGATTTTTTTACAAAGGAGATTTTTACATAACTTCACAAATGATGAGCTTTATAGTAAAGCTCTGACACACTGAATTATGGATGTCTGTATGGAGGTTTAGCTTGTGAAATTTTTGTGGACTTTTGCCTGCCTGCTGAAAGGAGAAGGAAAAACATTGTATATAGTTCTTTTTAAAGCAATTCATTTGTAACTGTGTCCGAGAAATGCCACTCTAAAACAAACCATGTCAATATATGTTCTTCTTTTACTATATAGCTACAATAACAAAACCGCTTCCTCTCCTCTGACAGTTTGTCAAGCTGTAATTGTTGGCAGCCTAGGTGTTTGACTTTCTTTCTGAATAAAGAAGGAAACATTTAATCTCTCCAAAACACAGTACAACCCACGACTCAATGCCAATGTCACAACATCAGCTAAGTGAACAGAGGAGTCAGGTCAAAGCCAGCTCTTATTTATTCATTATCACAAGAGCTGCTAGCAGAAACGAGTATACAGAGCAGCGGAAAGCATCCTGTGGAGCTTTTAGGCACTCTCCCTGGTGGCATGTTGTAAGTCTAGGCACGTGTGCACGTGTGCCACAACCAGTTGGGCAATTTTTGCCACCTTTCCCCTTGGAAACACTAAGGCTAAGGTGACCATGAAGGTGTGATTATTGCCTCAACATTGCTGTGATGTTTCTTGCAGTAACAGAACTCTAGAGTCCCTCTAGTGCCCAAATGAAGGAAAAAAAAAGAAAAAAAAAAAAAAAAAGTGAATTGACTAGCTCTTTAAAATGTGTATCAACCACTAAGCAAAACAAAAGCTTCCACTGAAAATATATGTTTATTCCTGGCTTTGCATAAAAGACTGTGTTCAAGCTGATTCTGACTGGGACAAGAAACACAACTATATAGTTAATTTCCATGGTAAAAATTCCATTTTAAAAGCCTCATTTTTCTGCGTGTCTACCATTTGGTAGTATTTAGCTTTTAAAGATTACTTGGAGATGTTACCTGTCTGCAAACATGCGTCACAAGCTGGCACATGAAAGCTTTAAGCAAACACGAGATCTAGCCATAGGGGGAGGACTTTTACTGGAGCAACCCTGTTGGTAGACCCTCACTCTCTTTGGTCTTTTTTCCAAAGGAAATAGGTACCCAAATGAATTACAATGAGTTAGTTAGCTTTAGATGTCATAAGCCAATCTTTGTATTAGAAGTAGCATGGTTTGAAAGCAGAGTATGAATTACTGCTTCTACATGCTCTTGGGGACACAAGGAACAAGAATTACAGCAGAAACACAATTCCAGCAGGTATTTGGATCCTTATTTCTCACTGCTGTGATTGAAAGCAAAGGGTCCCCAGATAACATGCTGAAGTGCAGAATGCACAGCACAAATCTCTTATTGAGTAAGCAGTTATGCACAGAGCTTCCTTTCCCTCTGTCATTTACCTAACCCAGCTCCTTTTCCTCTCAGCTCTTGAGGCTTTGTGACATCTTAGTTATGGGGCTGGTTGCCTTTGCTGAACAGGAAAAAACTGGATGTCAGACTTGTCACGTTGGGGACATCTCACAGGACATTTTGTAAATGTATTCAAAAGGAAGTGAGGAGATTACTGATCCCTGCAGAATGCAGCTGGTGACATTTCTTAGTCTAACCATTTTTCACTGCTTTAACCTGTTTTCTGGTGTAGAGAGGAACAGTTTATCTATTCAGTTCCCATCTCCATGAGCAGGAAAAGGAAGTCTCTCAAGGGAGGGAAAAAAAAAAATATATATATATATATATATATTTGTTGCTCTTAATATTTTCTAGATATAACAGGGAATCTCTGTCAGGAAGTAATGACTGCAAGTCTGTGAGCTTGGGTTGTTTGCTTTGCTCTCTCTACCTTCTCCCTTGTACAAGCACTGCCATCTTTGTCTAGCCTGAAAGCTGTAGGAATAAAACTGCCCCATTCAGTATTACCAGGTCTTCTAATGCAATAAGCATCCACTGCCTACCTACAAAATTGGACAGAAGGTTTAAGTAGTAAAGTATCTCCTTATGTGTTACATTTGTAGCAAGCTTATGTGTAAAAGTTGCTTTTCAAAGTAAATATGACACATGCATTACTAAAATTCATATTGGTCAGAACTTGAGAGGTATACTATTTCTGAGAGTTAATTTCCTGTTCTACTGAAAAGTCTGGGTTTTTCCAATAGTATCTACTGAGAATTAGAACCACAGAAAGGATCTATAGCTGTGCTTGCTACTTGTACGTGGAAACTCTTCAACTCTCTGATGCACCAATAGCTTGTTTTGTTAATATAGAATTTTGATAAGGCTTTCTCTTCTTAAAATGCTCATACTCTTATGTTCAAACATGTAAATGTTACTGCATTTTCCAAGCCTAAAGCTTAAATTACCAGTTGAAAACAGATTAGCCTAATCAAGTTAACATAATGATACAGAACACCAAGTTCATCTTGAGTTTTGGGCTTCATATTTCTTTTACTGTTTCTACAAATAAAACACTGCCATTATTTGTTAAGAGAAGAGAAGCATCTGCAGACATAGCAAGGAGTTGTTTATTTGCCTTGGCTACAAACATAGCCAGCTTGCTCCTAAGAGTCTTCCATTTTTGAGAAGACAACAGAGTGCATACCTTCAGGAGAAGGCTGGAGCAGGCATAGGATTCCTGCAGTCCTAAAAGCACTGAAGAATTAAGGCAATTTGCAGAGGGCCATGATAGACCTCACCCTCTTGTATGAAGGAATCATGAGAACAAAGCCCATGAGGCAAGATCTGCCTAAAGAAAGAAGAGGGACTTGGAAGTAGCCTCATGCACCCCACGCACTTTCCAAATGCCCTGCTGGCTGCTAGCCCAGCAATGCTTGAGGCTCATTGATCACAGTCCTCAGGAAAACTCAAGATCTACTTGCAAATCACATTGCATTGCCTCTCCAAAACTGTGGCTTGAGGTTAAATACCAAATGTACTTGGGATCTGTCCCTCAACAAGCTTCAAACTCTGCCTCAAACTCAGCTGCTATGCAAACCATGAATGCAGTGAAGTAGTCCAGATTTGAGAACGCCCTCAGCC